AGCACACAATAGCTATAAAAACAGCTCATCCATCATCTCTACATTTTGATTCCAGAGACAGCGGTGAAAGGTGTTGTTTCCACACCACTCACCCTGCACACTTAAAAAGGTTTGCTCCATCACTTACACAACTGAAACTGACTGATTAGCTGCTAGAGAAAAATCGATACAAATATCCTAGAAAACACTAGCTTGTAAATTCATTCTGGCCCCAACCAAATCCTGGTCACCACTCGACACGTTTTTCTACGTATCTAAAATGCAACCGTGTCAAACCCAGCAAAATCAGCCCCCATTAATCCTAGGAATTTTTAAAACCTGAATCTCAGCAGAAGGGAGGAAGTGAGGAGGAAGGTTTCACAACGGTCTGTGGGAACAACGAGCTGACACCCAGAAGTTACCTGGTAAATCTTAAATTCACATGCAGAACTCTCTTCAAAAATAAAACACACACTGAGAAGGCAAAAATGGTCAATGATGTAGGCTGAGTGAGAGAAAAAAATGCCAGAAAACCAGTTAAACAGATATAATTTATATACAGAAGAAATTATATTTCTTTTTAAACATACAAATAATCTGTAATGCTGTCCATTCAAAAGTTAACGAGCTCTCTCATTTTTTGGCAGCTGAATGCACAGTCAGCATATGTTTAGTATTGTGGGAGACCATTTTATATTCAGAATAACTTCATGATTATTTCAGAATCTCTTCTGACTACTTCATTGCCTTCAGGTTAGCCTTTAGTCTCTTCACTCATTAGACTAACAAGAAATACATTTTTATGCATATAAAATGTGTCATAATCACACTTGTAATCCCAGCACTTTGGGAGGCAAAGGTGGGTGGATCATCTGAGGCCAGGAGTTCAAGACCAGCCTGGGCAACATGATGAAATCCTGTCTCTACCAAAAATAGAAAAATTAGCCAGGTGTGGTAGTGCACACCTGTAGTTCCAGCTACTCAGGAGGCTGAGGCAGGAAGATCGGGAAAGCCCAGAAGGTGGAGGCTGCAGTGAGCCGAGATCACACCTCTGCACTCCAGTGATATCTCACTGCCAAAAAATAAAATAAAAAGTCTGATAAATATGCTATTCAGAACAAAATTTTGATGCTATTGTATGTTCTATCATATGACTGGAAACCTGGATTCTAATCCTCATTCCACAGTTGATTTAAAGTTTAAAAAAATAAATTTGTAATTCCGACGTACAGGAGCCATTAAAAAATTAAAAGGAAAAAAAGAAAATGCCTTTAGATTAAAGGATGGGAAATTCAACTTCCATCAACAGAGTGGCTTTAAATGTAGTGCTACAATTTATTGGCAGCATATTTAGGTTTTTCATTACAGAGAAACTTTTCATAAAACCATGTTTGTTATTCATTATAAGACAGGCAATCTACTCATGATAGGATGCAGAACTTACGAGTTTCTGGTCCAAAAAATATTCCTATCGCCTGAATTATTAAGTAATTAAATATGCAAAAGTCATAGTAATAAGAAAAGAGTCATTTATTCTATTATGTTTACTTTTATAATTGTTATTTGCAATTTTAAAGCTCAAACTTCTGATTTCTATAAGAGCATTAAAATCTCAATGTCTTTTGTAGAAAAAAAGATAACGCTACTAAACGTTTTAAAAATGTGAGCTATTATAGACTGATGCTTCCTATTGTTGAAAGAGATTATAAGGCCACCCTTAGCATGAATTTGTACTTCTCAGATTTAGAAAAGGAAAGGTAACTGTCATACCAAATATCTTCTATCTACAGAGAAGTTTTTCATAAAACATAATTCGGTCTCAAAAGAAAAATCTGTCATTTGATTTTGGTCATTAATGTTTTTTGTTATGGATGTTACAATATTCTTACTCAAAATTAGTCTTCTCTTCCTGGTTTTAGATTTTAGTTTAAGTAATATTTCTTCTTTATAATATTGATATAGACAATTACTTCATACATGTTATCTCAAATTCTTAAAACAGAAACATGAAATGTTATAGTGATGAGAAAACCATAATCTTGGAGAGGTAAGATACTGTGTTCACATCATATGTCTGGTAAGCAACAGAGTAGTATTTCAAATCTAAACTGCTTACAGCAAAAAGCAACAAATACCCCAGGACTTAAAATTTCCCTGGCTGGGTGCAGTGGCTCACACCTGTAATCCCAGCTCTTCAGGAGGCCGAGATAGCTTGAGGACAGGAGTTCGAGACCAGCCTGACCAACAGAGGGAGAACCCATCTATAAAAAACATTTTATAATTAGCCAGGCTTGGTGGTGCATGCCTACAGTCCCAATTGCTGGGGAGGCTGAGGCCGGAGGATCACTTGAGCCCAACAGTTTGAAGCCGCAATGAGCTCAGACTGTGCCACGATACTCCAGCCTGAGTGACAGAGTATGAGACCCTGTCACACACACAAAAAAATTCTAAACACACGGGCTTATCTCACAAGTTAGCTCACCAGTCCAAAAACTAGCATTTGGTTTCAACTCTAGTACACAGATAATAAGACAACAGAAAAACCTGACGTTGCAAACATTCCATGGTTGGGAATAAAAAGACGTTTATCTTACTGATGTTGATAAGAGTAACCTTCTAATACTTGCATTACAAATAGCTACCACATTACTGCTAACCTCTGATGTGTTCTTTGAATCATTCACCTTATCTGGTACAACCCACTTGGATATGACAATGTTAACTAATTAAAACCCTACAGAAGCAAATACGCTGTAACTTGGTTGCTCAGAGGGCATTTCTAAAGATAAATCACAGAGCTAAGGTGGATATTGTTACAAAAAGTTGTAATCGGTTTATACAAACTATGTTTCTGGGGCAGGAGAGAATAAGGTATGGAGGCAGGGAACCTAGGGCCAATTCACCTTGACTTCCTAGCTAAATAGATAGGAAAAAAAAAAACAAAACAACTTTTCAGCCTAATAGGACCAGAGGCTACTCCCTTTACAAACACCCATCTTTTCTGCAGGGCAGCTGGGAAATTGAAAGTACTTCTGATTAATTGATTTCTGCAACCAGTCAGACATTTGTATAGGTGTGCAACTTTGTAACTTCACTTCAGCTATCCACAACCAATCAGATATTTGCATGGGAGTGTGACCTTTGGAACTGCACTTCAGCCTCTGATTGGTTTCTTTCCACACCCAATCAGACTGACTGCAGACCACCACTTCATTTACATGGGGTGAATACCAAGTGGCCAATTGGAGACCTCTAGGGTCTCAATTCGGATCCCAGAAGATTCCGAATTCACGCCCTTGAGCAGCTGCTCAGACCCACTCCCACCCTGCGCAGTGTGCTTTCATTTTCAATAACTCTCTGCTTTTCGTTGCTTCATTCTTTCCTTGCTTTCTTTGTGTGTTTCATCCAATTCTTTGTTTAAAACACAAAGAATGTGGACACCCTCCACCGGTAACATTTCTGTCTTTTTCCTCAAGTCACATATAATAACCATGCATGTGTCTAATATAAAGTTGTGAAGCAATCATAGCCAAACGTTAGCATAAGTTACAGGTGAGGATAGATGTAAGCGAGTGAAGAGGAGATTTTCACTTTCCACATGGCAATTTTACAGCTTTATATTTTTCAAATGAATTTCCAAGTAAAATGAAACAGATTTAAAAAAAAATTCTATGCAGTTGCACTTAGAAATGCATGATGTTAGAAAAGTACAAATTTGCATGCCTTCTAAGTTGCAGTGTTTGGTTGATAGAACATCTAACGTTTAATATTCCTATTATCTGACAGCTATATGAAAAAACAAACACTAATTAAGAATGCCAGCAAAGGCTTTTTTCAAAGAGATTTAGTTTCTGGGCAAATTTTTGCCCATTCTAAGAAAATCCACAGAAGTACTGGTTAGGCTGTGGAAAAGATAACCACCCAGGCTTTTCCTCAGATTAGATAAATAATCTGGCTTTAAAAGGAGAATGCTGGAAAGAGTCAGTAAATTTCCTTTATTTCTCTCTCAATACTAGTTGAATGTGAAAGGAGGAGGGGATTGAGCTAAGAAAATACAAGTAGAGAAAAACTGTTGGGGGCATCAACAAATCAAGCAAGGGGATGTTTTTCTCTATTAATTCCAAATTCATGTTTCTAAAAGCTTTCTATAGACTAAACAAAGAAATGAATTTGGAATTCATACTTTCTGAGACCCAGAGTAGGAAGTACTGAAAGTAGCATGCTAAGTTACTTGCTAAAAAGAAAAGCACAATGCCAATAACTATTAACCTGCAAGATTATGAGACAACAGATTATCTCATGTCAGGAGTAAAAAAACACCACTGTTACATCCACATATGATAAACAAAGACAAAAGAGGAAGTTTATGGTGTGAGCAGTTACACCTCCACACCACTGTGACTCATGTTAAAGATAAGTCTTAATACACGCTGAGAGAGACCTAGATAATCTATTTCCCAGCAAGTGATGACTCCGAAGTAGTTAGCCACCCCACTCAATTCATTTTCATTAGGCCTCTCCCCCTGTACCACTCTTTACTGTTCCAACAGTCCTGTGGATAAAAAGGGTAGCCTCCTTTATTGGCTGATACAAAAGGCTATCTTCTTCTTCAAAGGCTTCTACAAACCGTCATTAGCTCTACCATCTGAATGGTCCAAAAATGCCAGAGAAAGAGATGAAAAAAAAAAAAAGAGTATTTCACTTGTCCAAAAACATCTTAACAGACATCAGAGGCTCATGGATTTCATTTTATCTTATTTTTATTCCCATGGAGTCTAAAGATGGGTGGTAAAGTTCAAAATACATCATTTACCTTAGCGTGATCAGAAAACGAAAGAGCAGTAAACAAAGAGTAATTAAGGTAAAAATAACCTGAGTGATTCAATCTGGTCACATCTTTTATTAGTTAAGCTGATATATTTGTAAAACTCTTCAGAAAACTAAAGAAGTTTGTCTCTAAATAGAAGACTAATATAATTTATTAAGAAGACAATTTCACATGTAATTCTAGAAAGTCTTACCTTGAAAAGATTGTTTGGCTCTATCTACTAGCTCATCAATCGGGTAACTGGCCGAATTTCCTCTGGCATGTTTAGTTTTGCAGTAGGTACAAGCATTGAGACACCTGTTCAAATGGTAACAATAAATAAGACTCACATTTCTAAAGACAGTGTATACTTAACATGGGGGTACCTCAAAATATCCACAAAAGTGCTCTTTTGGGAACATTTGCATACTTTATACAAGAGATTAAAAAACCGAGTATCTGCCATGTCTCAGAGTTATTTTATCTCCACCAGGCACAAAAATCTGCAATTCTTTTAAGTTTCAACCACTCAAGAATGGCTGTACAAATCACATATTACCTCAAAATGCACGTATCTATGAGGAAGAAAGTTTAAAAATGCTTATAATGACTAATCAAAAGAAATTCAAGACTGACATTACTTTTCATAAACAATTGACATTTCTTTGGCCATCATATCTAGAAAGTTTTGGTATCACTTATACATACCATATTATTCAGAAAGGATGACACTCATTTAACTTTTGACTAATGGTATAAGAGTAGATAATATAGCATTCTCATAAGAAAATGCACCCTTAGAAATTTTTAGATGATACTTTTCACTCCTTGAAATCAGGAAAAAATATTAAAGCAAGTTCGATGAATAGTTCTCTGAGACTACATTAACCAAAGTAAAAAAGTAGACTGACAATATTAGCTTTAAAAAAATAAAAAATGGCATATTTCTCAAGAGTATTTAGACATGTTAAAGAACTGTCTTTTTAAAACTAAAATATTGATTCTACTCTTATATTAAAATATACCTTAAATAAATTTATTACAAAATAAAAGACACAGTTACAAAATAATAAATAGTCCTGTATCAAAAAGATAAGCCTCAATAACACTGACCCAAACAAAAAGGAATGTCTCTTCCGCGACTCAATTGTTATAATGAGAAGCAAGGCTTTAAAAGACCATCAGTATACAAATACTTTAAAATTTCATAGTGAGAATAATTGTTCCTTCAATAATTGAATCTGACCCATGTGTAATTTTATTAATACATGACTTTAAAATACATATGAATCACTGTACTCAGCAGTCAGATATGCAGTGCTTAATTTCTGAGAATTTTTGCATGAGATCCTTGAGTAAAGTAATAGACATTTTAAAACGTGGTTTTTTTTTTTTGAGAAAAAAGAAAGGAAGAAAAAGAAAGCAAAGAAAAAAGAAAAAGAGAAAGAAAGAAAAACAGAATAAAAGAGAGAAAGAAAGAGGAAGAGAAAGAGGGAGAGAGAATGGGAATCCTGATCTATTGCCCAGGCTAGAACGCAGTCTAAAAATGGGTATTAAAAACCTCTTTATGCCAATAAATGTGCTTAATAATGGAGACAGGAAGGAATAAGGGAGGAAAATAACAAACAAGCAGCCAACCAATATTTCATTTAAACCTGTGAAATGCTATGCAATTGCTGGGGAGTGATTTACTTCCAATTTTGTGGTCACTTTTAGAATAGGTGTGATGTGATACTGAGAAAAATGTATGTTTTGTGGATTTGGGGTGGAGAGTTCTGTAAATGTTTATTAAGTTTACTTGTTCCAGGTCTGAGTTCAAGTTCTGGATATCCTTGTTAAATTTGTCTCGTTGATCTGTCTAATATTGACAATGTAGTGTTAAAATCTCCCACTATTATTATGTGGGAGCCTAAGTCTCTTTGTAAGTCATTAAGAACTTGCCTTATGTATCTGGGTGCTCCTGTATTGGGTACGTATATATTTAGGATTGTTAGCTCTTCTTGTTGCACTGATCCTTTTACCATTATGTAATATCCTTCTTTGTCTCTTTTGATCTTTGTTGCTTTAAAGTCTATTTTATCAGAGACGAGAATTGCAACTCCTTTTTTTTTTTTTTTTGCTCTCCATTTGCTTGGTAAATCTTCCTCCATCCCTTTGTTTTGAGTCTTTGTGTATCCTTGCATGTGAGATGGGTCTGGATGCAGCATACCGACGGGTTTTGGCTTTTTATCCAATTTGCCTGTCTGTGTCTTTTGATTGGGGGCATTTAGTCCATTTAAATTTGGGATTGATATTGATATATATGAGTTTAATACTGCCATTTAATGCTGGCTGTTTTGCGCATTAGTTGATGTAAATTCTTCATTATGTTGATGCTCTTTACTTTTTGGTATGTTTTTGGAGTGGCTGATACTAGTTGTTCTTTTCTGTGTGTAATGCTTCTTTCAGAAGCTCTTGTAAAGCAGAGCTGGTGGTGATGAAATCTCTGAGTACTTGCTTGTTCGCAAAAAAATTTATTTTTCCTTCACTTATGAAGCTTAGTTTGGCTGGATAAGAAGTTCTGGGTTGAAAATTCTTTTCTTTAAGGATGTTGAATATTGGCCCCACTCTCTTCTGGCTTGTAGGGTTTCTGCTGAAAGATCTGCTGTGAGTCTGATAGATTTCCCTTTGTGGGTAACCTGACCTTTTTCTCTGGCTGTAAATTTTCTCCTTCATTTCAACCCTAATGAATCTAATGATTATGTGTCTTGGGTTTGCTCTTCTTGAGGAATATCTTTGTGGTGTTCTCTGTATTACCTGGAGTTGAATATTGCCCTGCTTTGCTAGGTTGGGAAAGTTTTCCTGGATAATATCCTGAAGAATATTTCCCAGCTTGGATTCATTCTCTTTGTCACATTGAGGTACACCTATCAAACGTAGATTAGGTCTTTTCACATAGTTCCATATTTTTTGGAGACTTCGCTCATTCCTTTTTAGCCTTTTTTCTCTAACCTTGTTTTCTCCTTTTATTTCATTAAGTTGGTCTTCGACCTCTGATATCCTTTCTTCCGCTTGATCAACTCGACTGTTAAAACTTGTGCATACTTCGTGAAGTTCTCGTATTGTTTTTCAGCTCTATTAATTCACTTATATTCCTCTCTAAATTGTCTACTCTCGTTAGCATTTCATCAAATCTTTTTTCAAGGTTCTTAATTTCTTTGCATTGGGTTAGAACATATTCTTTTAGCTCACAGAAGTTTCTTATTATCCACCTTCTGAAGGCTGATTCTGTCAGTTGATCACGCTCATTCTCCATCAGGCCTCGTTCCGTCGCTGATGAGCAGCTGCAATCCCCTGTAGGAGGAGAGACATTCTAATTTCGGGTATTTTCAGCCTTTTGGCACTGGTTTCTTCCCATCTTTGTGGATTTACCCACCTGTAGTCTTTGTAATTGCTGACTTTCAGATTGTGTCTCTGAGTGGACATGCAGCTTGTTGGTGATAAAGTTTTTTCTGTTTCTTAGTTTTTATTTGGCAGATGCCCCTCCCCCACAGAGCTGGACCTTCTCAGGATCAGCTGTGCTTGCTGTGAAACTCTCAATCTTCAGCGCTTCCAATTGCTGTTTTTTTTGTGGGGGCACTGCGTGCCAGCTGAAACAGCCACATTGCGATTCATGGCACTTTTCTGCCTGGGAATCTCCTGGTCTGGCTCCGCACTTCAGTCCCCTTTTCAATCAGCTGAATGGGCGACTCTGCCTTCCTGGAGCTCCAAATGCCAACTAAAAGGGCACCCAGTCCCATATACTCCGCAGTGAGAACCGCCACACCGGGACACCGGCGAAACAGCACTGCCGGCCAAGAGTTGTGCTGGCGACCCGTGGGGCTCCTCCGCTGGGAATCTCCTGGTCCATGGGCAACAAAAATTCGTCTGGAAGTGTGGCATCCACTCACTCTCCGCACTTTCACTGGAAGCTACAATCCTGAACTGCTGCTAATCGGGCATCTTGGATCTCTCTCCGTAAAACATGTTTTTAATATGTAACAGACAACATGATCTTCAACTGCTAACAGTCTTTTCCTCCTAAGCAATTTATATTTTTAAAATAAACACAAATTGTGCCTCTTACAAATACAGTCCCCCAGTTGTTAGATGTCTTCTCTTTATATTTTCTGTCCTTTCCATAACAAGGGGAAGGAGAAAACCGTTGTATTGCCTTTTCCTTGAGAGGATAACTCGATCGTGTTTAGTCCTTACTGAGCACCAGACACTGTTATCAATATTTTCTTTTGTTTCCTTTTTCTATGTTTTAAAATAGAAATGGGTTCATGGCCGGGCACGGTGGCTCACGCCTGTAATCCCAGCACTTTGGGAGGCCAAGGCAGGTGGATCATGAGGTCAAGAGATCGAGACCATCCTGGTTAACATGGTAAAACCCTGTCTCTACTAAAAATACAAAAAATTAGCTGAGCATGGTGGCGCATGCCTGTAATCCCAGCTACTCAGGAGGGTGAGGCAGGAGAATTGCCTGAACCCAAGAGCCGAGTGGGTTGCGGTGAGCCGAGATTGAGCCATTGCACTCCAGCCTGGGTAACAAGAGCGAAACTCCGTCTCGAAAAAAAAAAAAAAAAAAAAATAGAAATGGGGTCTTGCTATGTTGCCTTGCTGTGTTGGTCTCAAACTTCTGGGCTCAAGCAACCCTCCCTTCTCAGCCTCCCAAAGTACTGGGCTTACAGGAGTGAGCCAAGGAGCGTCTTATTGATACTGTATATGCCTTATCTCATTTAATCTTTTCAGAGTTGGGTTTCTCTATCTCCGGCTTACAGACAAGAATCTACCTCAAAAAATCAGATAAGTCGCTTGCTCGAGGCCATGTAACAGCTGAGATTCAAATCCAGGCCAGTCAGATTTCAAACTCCAAGCTGTTTCCATACCAAGCTGCCGCCTCCCACAAAAACTGAGTGCCAAACATCTCAGCTGCATAAAAATGCAAATATTAAGACCTGCAAATCATCAGACGTGAGATATAAACTAATACGGCACATATATTCAAAGATATGGCCGGTACTTACCTTCTTGAAGCTCAGTATGAAGCTATTGAATTACAATATGTGTTTCTCTCCTTTATTCTGTGGGAATCTAAGGCCAGGCTTCTTGTCCATCGACTGCCCTAAACCTGTCTTTTTCATCCTTGTTTACACGTCTGTTTTTCATCCTCCTGTTGGTTCTTTGTGAAAATGTGCCACTGCATCTGATTTTAAATTCTTTTCATGTTGTTGTTTCTATTTTTTGAGACAGAGTTCTGCTCTGTTGCCCAGGCTGGAGTGCAGCGGCGCAATCTCAGCTCACTGCAACCCCCGCCTCCCGGGTTTAAGCCATTCTCCTGCCTCAGCCTCCTGAGTAGCTGGGACTACAGACACGCGTAACAGCACCCAGCTAATTTTTTTTTGTGTTTTTAGTAAAGACAGGTTTTCACCATATTGGCCAAGCTGGTCTCGGACTCCTGACCTCATGATCTGCCCATATTGGCCTCCCAAAGTGCTGGGATTACAAAGGCGTGAGCCACCGTGCCTGGCTAATTTTTTGTATTTTTAGTAGAGACGGGGTTTCACCATGTTGACCAGGATGGTCTCAATCTGTTGACCTTGTGATCTATCCGCCTCGGCCTCCCAAAGTGCTGGGATTACAGGCTTGAGCCACCGCCCCCAGCCAACACATACTTTTAAACAACCAATTCAAATGGGAATTCCCTATGGGCCGGTACAGCACCAAGCCTCTCATGAGGGAACCCCCCAAAGTGGTCCAAATACCTCCCGCCTGGCCCCACTTTCAACAGGGAGGATTACAATTCAAAATGAGATTTGGAAGGGACAAATACCCAAACTAGTACTCACTTTCAATCACAAATGAAAATGTCAAGTCTCCTTGTGTTAACTCAACTCAAGCCGCCATAAAGTGTGACAGAAGAGATGGGAAGCAGTAAAAGCTGGAGAGTTGTCCCATCGATGTATCTTAAAAAGTGCCTGTCTGACCTTGCTGGCCTTCATTTCACTTCCAATCAAGAATTGAATAATCCTGGACTGAGGGCAATATAAAGACAGTCTAAATGAGAGGAGGCCCCTGGAGCTCGCTCTGCTTTAAATTCACTCTCTTAGTCCTCAGCCCCTTGAGATAAGTGTTATCACTGCCTTTCTATAGAAATGGGAACAGCGAAATAAGTTTAAAAATACAATTAAAATGAAGAGGACGTACATTTTCTACTGCAAGTCTCTGTATTAATATACATGCATAACTGAAACAAAAGTTCCATAATGCCATAGATGAGCTTAGAAAATGAAGCACGTATGAAATATTACTTAATATTTAAATACAACATAAAAACTTGCAAAATACACCCCATACCAAAACAAAACAAACATGAAAACAACATTCTCTACCTTAAGCCATTACTTTGACTTCTGCCTTAAAGGGACTCAAGGTCTTGAGGAAGGCAGGCTGCTGAAGAGGTAAGTGGAAGGAAGTGTCAGAGATGACCTGACAGATGTTTCTAAGTACAGAAACAGCAGGAGGGAGTGTGGTCAACTCTCCCAGGGAAAGTCAGGAAACGCTTCCGGGAAAGGCAATACTGAAGTCTGGGAGGCAGAGCAAGCAAGATAGAAATTGTATACGTAATTACACCTATTTCACAGTACCTTTTGCTAGAATTCCTGCTTTTGACTGGTTTTCCACTTCTTCGTTTTTTGTTGGTTTTTTTTGTTTGTTTGTTTTTGAGATGGAGTTTCGCTCTTGTTACCCAGGCTGGAGTGCAATGGCGCAATCTCGGCTCACCGCAACCTCCGCCTCCTGGGTTCAAGCAATTCTCCCGCCTCAGCCTCCTGAGTAGCTGGGATTACAGGCACGCGCCACCATGCCCAGATAATTTTTTGTATTTTTAGTAGAGACGGGGTTTCACCATGTTGACCAGGATGGTCTCAATCTCTTGATCTCGTGATCCACCCGCCTCGGGCCTCCCAAAGTGCTGGGATTACAGGCTTGAGCCACCGCGCCCAGCCACTTCTTAAAACCAATCTAGTTAAAAGCCTATCACTTAAACTGGATTTCACTGAAAAGATTTATTAAGTCTTGGCAGGAAGGGGCCCCATGGTGACAGACCACACCTTCAAAAATGAAAATGCTCCTAAAAATAATTTATGAAGTAGAAATTATGTGGGCTTGAGATTCTTAGTTCTAGACAAAAGACTAATCAAACATAGTTTTAAAATTTAATTTTAAAAAATGACAGTGTTGGCCATGGACTGTTAAAGATGGAAAGTTACAACATTAAAATTCTTCTGGTTACAGCTGCCAAACTTCTGTGCCCTAAATACATAACCAGGACTGAGAATAAAAGATTTAAGACATATCCTTAAAAAATTTGCAGGATTTTTTTTTACACAACCATTTGACAGTAAAAACTATATATACAAAGTGTGTTTTACATTAAAACCTTCAAAACTTATTCTTACAACACACACATGAGAAATTTCTCCATGGAATCTTTTCATTTGCTTTTCATTGGTTGGCTCTTTTATCGGTGGCTCACAGATAGAGGGTACTTTCACTCACTCATTTCCCCATGTGAGGTATGCTCTACCTTTACAGCACAGTATGACTAAAATAGTCTACTCAGAATTTGCTTTAAAAAAATTAAGCATATCTTTATTAACTCCTTACAAAAGAATGTTTTCTGTTGGCACAAAATAAAACGGCAAATAAAACAAAAAAAAGTGAAAAAAGATCAAAGAGGAAAAAGACACATGAAGGAACAAACTATTTAAGAGAAGATCTAAAGGGAAATAGAAAAAAAGTGAGCAGTGATCTTAAACAACAGGTATCAGAAAAGCAAATCATAAATGGGCCTCACTTTCTCATTTCCGTCTGTTCAAGATGAACAGCTTCACAGAACAGAAAGAAGGGTATGCGGAACAAGGGGACTGGGTTTCATTTTAGAGTACACTGCTGCCTGACTGCATAACCAGTAATGCAGGCTTCCCGTGGAGCAGGAATGAATTAATGTATATGAAAAGTGTAAGCTACAAAGAGCTAGACAGAAGTTAATTACAGTTACTACCGTAATTAAACAACTGTACTCCTATCAAAACATACAGTGCTAACGACATGTCTCCAAAGCAAGATGGCAAGGGGGTTTTCAAAACTTTCAAACACTAGGAGTTAAAGTCAGATCCCCTTTCTTTTAAAAGCTCTAGAGGGCTAAGAAATAGGTCACAAATAACTGCACTGATAATGATGATCAAGGCCAGGCGTGGTGGCTCACACCTGTAATCCCAGTACTTTGGGACAGGACGGGGAGATCACAGGAAGTGAGGAGTATGAGAACAGCCTGGCGAACATGGCGAAACCCCTTCTCTACTAAAAATACAAAAATTAGCCAGGCGTAGTGGTGTATGTCTGTAATCCTAGCTACTTGGGAGGCTGAGGCATGAGAATTGCTTGAACCTGGGAGGTGGAGGCTGCAGTAAGCTAAGATTGCACCAATGTACTCCAGCCTAGGCAAAAGAGCAAGCCTCTGTCTCCAAAAGATTTAAAAAAAAAAGATCAAGTTTGTGAATGACTTGTTAAATACATAAATTAGATTAAAGGTCATCCCTATGAAACCACTCATTTGCATGGTAGTGTACTTTCCTGGGTGTGAGCTGGTGGAATAAGGCATAGGTAATGAACCTGGAACCATACATGGTCCTGGGTGAATGTAAGCATGTTTGCTCAGGGACCATGTTACACAGCCAAGGCTGCTTTTCCACGTCAGGACACTGAGTGGTATGATCCTTACCTGTCTAGAACAGTGGCTTACCATGTTCTAGGTGAGTGGTTGCAGGGTGGACTCCCAGCTCCCAGTTTCCCCATAGTCTGCATTAAGCAGTCTACCATCTCCCCTCTCAGGTCAGGGGTCCTCTCAGCCCACCATCCCTCTCCCTGACAAACTTTCTTGAGAATCACTGCTTTAGATAATGTTACCTACATTAAATCCTCTCAAATTACTTCTTCCATCAGGAATCCAAGTTACCAAGACTAAAACTACCTCTCTCGAACTCCTGAAAATAAACACGCTCCTGGGTAGAAACAAAAGCTGCCTCAAAGAGGCACAATGTTTCTGAGCAACGCTGGGAAGCACACTCCCTGTCACTACCCAGAACTGCATTACAACTGAATGGAGGAAGGGGAAAAGAGTCCAAGAACTGGGCTTTACCCAAGACCCTCCTCACTTGAAAATACAGAGGTATAGCAGAGAAAAATGCATGGTACCTCTGTAACAAACATCTTCAGCTTCACTGCTTAAGAAGGAAGGCACAGGGAAAGAAAAAGTAAAATCTGGCATACAGAAATTGGGATGCAAGATAAAGGCTGGCCACATTCTAATGAATTCTGCTACAGGTCACTATCTAAAATGCCAAAAGCTTTTCTAATGATAGACTCTGAAACTCCATTTTATATTACATACGCAAGCACTTCAAGATTTCAGAGAAGTGACCTTCCACATGATACAACCCGCAACTCAGGAAACTGAGAACCAGTGAGGCTGTAACGGTTGTTAAAGGCCTTTAACACTGTCAGTAGTACAAACAAATATTTGCACACAGCTCTTCACAGTCTCAATCAAGGACTCTCACCCACCACAGCAGCACCCGAAAGCGCCTATCACAGCAGCCGACTTAGCGCAGCTTCAAGAACTGGTGCACTTTAAATTTCAGAATTACAACAAAGATTTAGTGTGTTAGAAAGCATCCTTTATGAGGACATTTTAATTACTATTTCTTTATTACTCAATGCAATGCATACTTTGTTATAAAATGGTAGTACTGAGATAAATGTCTTTAGAATAGCCAGACATCCAGAGGATATCCAGAGTTGATATCCTAACTGAAGATTCTCCAAATGAGTTTTCTCCCCATCAAACTAATACATGAAATTGATATTTAGTCTCTCGGTCTCCAGAGTAATTAGTACATATCTGCTGTATATTTTGTAATGTGTTACAGAATGAACCTCTAAAACAAAAAATGTGTAAATTACCAAATATTAAATATAAAATGTTCAAATTGATTAAACATTCTTATAAGAAATCCTGTACCAATTATCAATACTAGTTTTTCTAAGAAAACATCCATGACATCACTAAAATAAAGTTCATTCTACATCTAATTAATTATTCTAATTATCAAATATAACTTTTCAAGAAAAAGAGAAAGTCAGATTTAAATTTCTTTTCTACCCACATCTGAGCCATCAGATTACTTTGTGGTGCCAGTTTTCACTTGACTGTGATATAATAAATTATTTCCCTAACAATAAAATCTTTGTTTTTTTTTAAATTCAAAGATAATAATTTCTATGTATATTTATTTTCATATCAAAGCTTTAGATACTAAAGCATTTCTAACATGACCTGGTTCCCACTTTATATTTCTATTTTTAGGGAAATCAGCTATAAAGTACTAAAGAAGAATCATCAATACAGTACAATTTACTCTTGTGCTGAGAATAATCAAAGCAAAACAGACAATACCACAATTAACCTACAATTCACCCTGCATTTGAAAAATGCAATGAAGTTGCCAGTATTTATTTTTTTTCTAAGTTTACATTCTCATCTATTCTCACTATATTTTACTAACCAAAAACAGTGGATTCTTTAAGGAATAATAAAATGTCTGCAGTCACGTAATAAAGCATATGATACATATGCAGTGCATAAAAGCAGTGTAGCAACTGCCAATTCTCTTAAAAGTTAATTATAATAAAGGAAGAATATCATATGAAAAAATGTTATTTTAGTCTTTTCATTTAAAGCATACCAAAACTCTTTAAAATATATACATTAAGTGACCATTTTGTATGGAAGCCTCAAAATATGATCAATTAATCTATTTGATTTTTTTTTTTTTACTAAATAGCTCCTACTGTAACAAATACTATAACATTCAAGTATAATACAAATTCTTTCTGGGGTTGATGCTTTATATTATTTATGTATCAATAAAAATTAATATGATTGAGAAATGAGAACCCTGGGAATCAGAAATTGCCATATCTGAAAATACTAAATACCAGAAATAAAAATTATTAAAATACAGATGTAAAAGCAAGGATGTTAAAACATATTTGCTCATGTTAACAGTTTCACAAAAGTCTAAATAATAACACACTTGTAAAGACTTAACAATACTTGTACTCTCACCTTCATGAAATCTGCCAAAACACTACCAGGATTCACCAGAGTTAATATGTAAGTCTAATTTAATGGTAGGTAAGTCCTGGTTAACAGTTAAACAAGGAAAGATGGGGATACAATACTGGACAGGCCAGTGTGACGACTAGTGGAAGGACTGTGTCACGGGAAGCCTGTGAGGTTCAAGCCTAAAGTAACTTCCTTTCCTTGCTTACAACAACAAAATCTAGTGAACCACTATAACAGCATATTACATGAAAGCTACAACATGATGATCAACTTAAACTATTCAACACTATGTACCAGCTCACCCCACTAAAAACCCAGAATTAAGAAATCAAAAGTTAGAGAAATACCCATATCCTCATATAAATGAACTCCATTAATGATGAAACATGGTTTCAAATAATAATAATTTTAAAATGCATGTTTGAGCAGAAAAGGAAAT